AAGGAGGCCCTGCTCAACCCACCCACGAAAAGCAAAGGACGGCGGTGCGGGACCACAGTGTGGTTCAATACACTCGACATCCCCCCGCCCCATCTGAGAGAGGAGTCATCCCACACCCACACAGCCACAAACAAACGAATGCATGAAACATACGCTACGATAACCCGGCCCCTTGTGAGGGCAGGAAGTGGCAGTCTTTGGGACCCGCAGCCGCAGCGCCCCTCTGCGCGAACGTGGTGAGAAGCAGGAAGAAGAGCAGAATCAAAGAAACGCACGCACCGACTCCCACCGCGGCGCCGTTGGAAACAAAAACAAAACAACCAGTGAAGGAGCGGGGAAGTTGCACAGAGACCAACGAGGGCCCGCTTCGCCTCACCTGGCTGCACATTTTCTCCAGAGGCTGCCAGAGAAAGAAAAAAAAACATCAAAGCCCATGAGTACAGAAGTAATAACACCATAACCATCATTCTACAGAAGTAAAAAAGAAAAAGTTTCGGCACGACAACAGGATGAAAGTAGAAGATACGCTTGGATGGGTCCTCATCCCTTTCTGCCTACATGTAAGGTCACCAAAACAAAGTAAACAGATTGGCTTAGCATTCCGTTACAAATGCAATTTATGTGTAACCTGAAGAATGATAGACAATCGATTTACAAAAGCGTTTTATAATAACCGGGCTCTCGTTTGGAATTCACAAAAGTAACAGCCTGTAGAGCCATGCAACCACCGGACACCTTCTCTGGGAGAGTGTTCCGGAAAGGGCGGGCTAACGCGGAAGAAAGGGGCTCGAAAGCTGCACTTGCTAAATCTCAACGCGGCACCAAAAATAAGAAAAATAATAATAACATAATCATAAAATAAAAAAGCAAAATAAAATAAAAATAAAAACAAATTTTAAGGGAAAATAAACCCCCTCCTTCAACTAGAAGCATCTGGAGAACACAGCCACCTCGTAATTACTATTTTGATTTCCTTTTTCTTATTTTCATCCCCTTTTTTTCATTTTCATCTCTTTGGTTTTTTTCTTTTTTCCCTCTCCTAATTTGTTTTAGCTCCTCAAACCCCCCTACACTTAACGACTGCAATTCAACGCCTCCACCTCCTACAGTGCCAGCACAATGGCCAACTGCAAGAGCGACCCTGTGGAAACACCAAAAAGGAGGCACACACCAGTCGCTTGACCAGCCAAAGCCCTCTCGCCATCACTGTCAAGACCCTCTGTCTCTGGCGTGTAGTAGACAGACATTGTAGCAAAATATCCGTTGGTTAGTCCCAACACGCCAGACACCGTGTAGGCGGCACCAAATGTGGGGATGTATCGTTTTGCACACAGAACAAGTAGCGGGACAAGGAGCGTTCGTAGCAATGCGCCAATAACCACCCACCTGCGAGAGACCTTGAAAGACTTAACCAAGGAAAACAAGCGTCCCACGAGGTCAGCGGCGTTAAACACTGCCACAACGATGGTCCCATACCACGGGTCTTCTTCGTCCATGGCCAGCATTACACCAGGAAAAAGAAGAAATGAAAGGAAATACGTGTAAAAGCATGAAAACTGCATGGGATAGATCTTCTTAATGACGGGCCAGAGCTTCGCCATCTGAAGTAACTCCGCCGTTGTGAGCGGCTCAATGGGTTCCGACCGAGATGATACTGCCTCACCATCCTCTTTTTTTGGGTCTTCCTCCAGTGCTTCTGCAGAGCCAACACTTGGATCATGAGTCAATTTGCGTTTCCGGTAAATGTTAGCAAAAAATCCGTGTTTCGAACGGAGTTCTGCGACGTAGCCCCGGGAGAATGAGTTCTTCGACAGCGACCATAGCATAAGCATTGTCACGACAATAATCCCAATGGCAATACTGAAGTAAATCACTGCCTGTTTTCGCACTGAATGATAGCTGTCTGACATGGACGCTTTAATAATAATCTGCAAAATGGACATCACAAGACCCGAAACAGCTGCACCAACGACAAAAGAGCTAATCATAATGGGCGGAAAAGGGCCAAACAGTGCATATCCAGTATTCTCATAAAAGGCGCGTGCAAAGCCTCCCACAAACGCCATCACCATCAACGCAGCAATAGCAGTGTTTTCAGATGTGGAGGAACTTATGGGAATTAGCAACAACACCAGTAACTCGAGCAGCATCAGCACACAGGAAGCATATAGCCTAAAATAAAGAGAAAGGCGGCAGCAGAAGGTGGTGAGGTTCACAGGTTCAAACACCGTCTGCGTCACCATGGTGACAACCAAATAAAATGTCAAAACCGTTCTCCAGAATTTCTCATTTTTCGGCTTAGTGTTCTCGTCATTCGCAACATACTTGTAGTAATCGGTCATGTAACTGGGAGCTGAAGTCACCGCGCTCACACCCATCACCATGGTGATGCCCATGACGATGCTCGTGAGAAAGGTCCATGCCTCTGAATAAGAACCAAACTGTGTCATCCTCCAGGAAACCTGTAAAACTTCACCCAGGCGTGTGTTTTCGTTTATTACTACTATTACTACGCTTACTTTCCTTTTGATTCGTCCGCAGGGCACTCGAACTTTTAATTAGACCTTGCAGAGAAAGAAAATAATAATAAATGAGAGTGGTACCGCCATCAAAGACAAAACGTCTTACAGTACCCTCCAAGCAGACTAAAAGCAACACCTGTGCGGCACCTCCACCTCCGCACGCACCGTGCATAGCAAACAACCAATCAAACAAACAAAAACCCGGAACTCAAGCCAAATCTCATTAATAACAAAAGAAAAAAAAGAAATTAACCACACTACATCCATGTATATAAGCGCCTTTGATATATATATATATATACTTTTTTGCATAAACAAGGCAGGAATGAATGAATTCTTCCATCTTATTATCAACAATGGAATGTAGCCAGTGAAATTCTGTTGAAGAGTGTGCCCTTGCTAACCTCATATTTCATTTTATAGTTGTTGATT